GAGAACTGCTCCTGTCTGTGCTCCTGCACTCTGAAGATGCCGGTCACGGGTGCTGGCGAAATGTTAGGAAACAAAACTTCCAGAACACGGCCACACAGCCCGGAAGACCCACACCAGCCATCGTATGCCGGCCGTGAAAGCCTTCGACAATACATGTATAGTCTATTACTTCATTTCAAGTCTACTATATCAGGTTCTCTCTACTAGTCTTGTTTAAGATTATCAGTGCATTTTAATGAGGTTGCTCTTATCTATTACTGTTCATGCGCATTTCAGGGATGTGGCAACATCAACAAAACTAGCTATGTGGTGCCAATTATCTGGAATTCAATACTATAATCTTACCCTGCTGGTTGTCTCCATGAGGCTTCTAGCACTTTTGTGGTCCATGAAGTTAATTCCATCTGGGTGAGGCCAAACATTTGGGATCTGTTTTGGATTTGGAGAGGGTAGTTTAGCATTGCAGATGTTTAAGTCCCCCATTTCAACCCTGAGAACTCCTGTACTCTTTCCCCTACATGGATCTGGCCCTGCCTACTTTTGGAATGCAGCTGTTGACATGCAAAAATATGATGTAACAAATACTGTTCTGAGTTTGCAGGTTCAGAGATACTATAGTCTAGTTGTTGCTACCTTAGGCAAACCATGGTGGATATGGTGACAGCATTGTCAAGGGCTCACTGCTAGGGTCACTCTTGGGGATCACAGCCCATCCTAGTGTGCATATTGGAATCAGAGAGGATAGAATGTATGGCTCCCAACCACACCATTAATGGACTATTCCTCCTTTGTTCGATGGCGAGCTTTCCTAGGCCCCCAGCTGTGCTCAAAGCTTCTTTGGTTGCATTGGGTCTATAGTAATTTATCTCTGCCAGACCAAAATTCATTAAATGGTTTTGCCAGGGCTCACTTGAGACTTGTGACAGTTAAAGCTCCTAGCAAAGTGGTGCTTTATCTACATAAATCATAGATAGAGCAGGCAAGGAGAACCATGGATCTCTCAGAGTTGCTGACCTATGTATGAGCATCAGCATGCCCACCATTGGCCAAGATGGCTAAAGTTGCTGGAAGTTGTAGCGGAGGGATCCTATTTCCCAATCTTATTACAGAGCAACCTTCCCCAACATCCAGATACATGGCACTTCAACTCCCAAAATTTTCTTTTGGAGATGTTGAGTGGGAGGTGAAGCACTTCTGAAAGTTGCCATATTGGGAATGGCTATCCAAGAGTATCACTGCAGCATTCTTCTTCCACTACACCCGAATGACTTTGAACTGTTTGTGATTTAAATCCTCCATTTCCTTTATTTTTATTTGGCCATATCTCATTAAGAACATAATGCAGCTTGTGAAAACATGTTCTGAAGTGGCATTACTACTGGCCTGGGATTAGGTTTTTTTTAACACATGTAACTGGAGAGAGACTTCCACAGCCAATTTACAGTAATGTCAAGGAGCAATAAATATATTGGTGATGGAACAGGGTGGGCAGGAGAGAAATGGGCAACTACATGCTGATAGAAAAACATCAACAAATAAACTTTTTGTGCTAGTAATTAGGCACACAAGATTATTATATGTTTAATTGACTAAAGTGACAATTTGGAATTACATCTAGTTGCATTTAATTGGATTTGGAACCTCCAGAGGGAGAGGAACTGAGAGAAGTATTGGAGGAGTTACCATAAAAAGCGAAGTGATTTTCTGAAGTCTGTTAAAGCTTGCATTAATATCCACTGCACAATAGTTTTTAATATCCTCCCAGCCTATTAAGAGGAACTGGCAGTTGTTACAACACTTGGGATACTAAAGCATATTCACTTAGTTGCAGAATCTGCAATCTTTCTCCCATCTTTCTACTGGTCCATTCCATAACTACTACTGTAACATAATCAAAGGTGAACTACATATGACTTTGCCACAATACAGAGATATTCTCTGACATCATTATCACACTGTGTGTCTATGCGTACAAAAATTCTGCCTGTATGTAATGCCAAGGGTCCCTAAATACTTTAAAGTGAAGCAAAATAAAACATTTTGGGGGGCAGATAACATATTTGTATATTAACAATGTATGTAGAAAAACTAACTGTTAGAAGAAGGAGAATAATGATTCAGATCATTGCTATCTCATAAAACTGTGTTTCCATGGAGGTTATTGATTTTGATAAGGACAATTATGAATACACACTATTATAAACAGCTGTATTTTTGCAGATGTGGGCAACTGGGGGAGGTGACTAGGTGTCAGAATTGAACAGAACAATGTTGTGAAGTGATCCAGGTCAGGATTTTCTGGGGAGGAAGGAATTATCTTGGAAAAAGGGGTATTTTGGATTGTAGAGGTTTATTGTTCCCATTGAACACTTGTGGAAAATTGCATAACTGTTAGTTTTCAGCAGCAAATTGGGGTGGTAAAATTAGCAGTGCAATCAGAGAACCCAGGGGACTTCTACAGCCCATGGTTAATAGTTCCCATTCCTATTTTAGTCTGTGTTCAGCCACAGTTATCCAAAGTCTTTTTGACAGGACAATATGGAATAGGGGGCGCAACCCTCCTTGTAGACTGAAGGAGTCTATACATTCATAAATACAATAAAAATAAATAAAGATGTCAAAGGTGCAAAATTTAATCTTGAATCAAAGAATCAAACCAGAGATGATCAACCATCAACCCTCCCTTAAGCCAGAAGTCCCTGAACTAAGATCCCAGATACAGGATCTCACAGCCAGATTTTGCTGAATGTTAAAGTGAGGAAGCTTCCTGTTTTCCAGTTACTATATTCACATGATATACTTAATTGGTTCCTGATGGAATCATGGATTAAAGAAATGGGTTTCCTTTAAGAATTCTTTCTCTCTCTCTCTGTCTTTCTCTCCATTGTACATTTTGCCCCTGCCATGGGATGATGGTATAGGGAAAGAAAAGATGGTGTTATCCATGGTTGTGCTAACATTACTTGGATCATCATGGAAAATCCAGTGGTTCAGTGACAACCTTCCAACTACTAGGAGGCCATCAAAGACAGCTGTTCCCAATCTGAGCAGGACAGCTGTGACTGAGTGCCACCAGCACACAGAGTTTTTCTCAGGACAGCTTCTGACTTAAGTTAGCCAGGTTGTCCAAACACAGCCAGAAATGGTTCTCTAGTTTAGGAGGACAAAAAGACAAAGCCTGTCCATCAAGTCAGCAAGTGTAGTAGATACCCATTCGGTTATGTCTTATTGCTGCACTTTCTGGACCCTTCATATGAGTTGACAATGGGGCAGGGCAACAGAGCCAACTCAATGGAACAGATTTTGTACAGGAGAACTCCCAACTCCTGACCTGGTGGTTTATATACCATGGGCCTTTATGTCATAAGCATTACATTTGTATATTCTTGTTTGTCTTCTTGCTACCCTTTAATATGTTCCATTTGCTAATTCCATTTGTGTCACTAGAAGCACCATGATTGCTGACTACACGTACTGGCTGTCTGGAGGAAGAGACCAGCATACCAGCAAGCTCATCAAACTGTATTGGCAGGTAAAAATGGATAGCCTAACTAAGAGGGAGGTGCCCCTATTGCTCTTCAAACCCAGATGAAGGATTGGTGTTTAAAAGACTGCCAGCGAAGGTAGCTCTGGGACTTATCAATCACAAAGCCATTATATATGGCAGCAACATATTTATAATGAAGGAGATTTTTTTTTCCTAAGACTAATTTTAAGGGGAAAAATCAAGATTGTTAACCCTGACACATAATTCAGTTTTACTGAGTATAATAAAATTTCAACATTGATAGAAACACAAACATACACACACATAGACAAAAATCAGTATTCTAGCTTCAGCTCAATTTTTCTGAAGTTCCCTTCTGCGCTTTGCCAGCCAGAAAACTATCCATATAGCAAGTCAAACATTCTGCTTCATCAAGAAAAAAGTTCTGCAAAAGTTGACTTTTGCAAGGAGCAGTCTACTTTGCCCTTTTCAAACCATTATATGGATCAAGACCTAGTTATCTAGCAGATGTCACACATCCCTGAATGAAATGACATCATTGTTGTAGTTTCAATACATCCAAAGGCAATTTTCAACATGTATTTTGAAAACTGCTGCTGTTCAGTCATTCAGTTGCTTCCAACTCCTTGTGACTCAATAGACATCATTTACCAGGATTGTCAGTGAGTAACTCAAAAACATTTGAGTTTTTGTAAGCTCATGCTCACGTCATCCACCTCAGCAGCCACGGGAAGAAAGGGGAGGCAAAATAACAAAACCCATTTTGAACTTGTGTCATGACATTCAAGGCATGCATGAAAGGGTGGAGCTTGTAGTATGAGCATGTGATGCTACTTTCATCATTCTGACCAAAGCCTGTGAACAACCATAGTAATCAGTAATAGTATTTAATCACCATGTCTTCTGTTGGCCTTTTTTTTCAATGGTCTTCAATATTTTCAAGCATCAAGATCTGTCTAGTGAGTCTTGCATTCACATTATTCGTTTAAAATATTTAGGCTTCAGTGTCATTATTAGTGATTTCAGTTAGCAGTCTGGGTTTAGTATTGAATGATTTAATCTTTTTGTGGCACAAGATACTCTCGGCAATTTTTTTCCCAGCACCACAATTCAAAGGCATCAATTCTTCTTCACTCAGCCTCTCTGATGGTCCAGCTTTCATAGCCGCATGTTACCCTGAGAATACCATGGCCTGGACAATATCTCTTTGTTGTAAATGTGGTATCTCTCTGCTTCTGTTATAATCATTCTCCCAAGCTGCAGAACATATTTTTATTTCACGGCCATCATCACCATTCCCGTGAATTTTTGAGCTTAGGAAGATAAACTCAGTTACTGCTTCGACTTCTTCTTCTTCTCCTATTTGTACAGGATTGGCATTGCCTGTTGACATAATCTTAGTTTGTTACTGTTGATAGTGGTTTTAATATTAAGCAGCAGACTGGTATGCACTCACTTCTTTCATCTTGAACAAGATATTCTTTAAGTCTTCCTTGCTTCCGGCTATCAAACTGACATCAACATATCTGAGATTGTTGATGTTTCTCCCAGCAATTTTAATTCCAATTTCCATTTCTTTTAGTTCTGTATTTCTTATTATCTATTCTGACATAAGTTATGTAAGGTTACAGTATAAAACCTTGGCATGCTCTTTTCCCAATTTTGAACAATTTATTGTTTCATATTCTGTTATTCTGTTAAATATGTTATCAAATTCTTCAATAGGTACATGTGGTAGCTCTAGAATACTCATGTTTTAAGAGATATCCACAGTTCTTTGAGGTCTATACAGTCAAAAGCCTTTGTATAGACAATAAACCAATATATACATCCATCAGATGTTAGTAGTGTGCCTCAGTTGCCCTTGCCTCTTTCAAATCTAATGTATATATCTAGCAGTTCTCATTCCTTCTACTACTGACATCTGGACTGCAAAATCTGGACCATGTGAGATAACAGTGACTCTATTATATTATCTGATTATTATATTTTTCTGTCTGTAGTTTCCCAAATCTTCCTTTTTCCTGTTTTTGAATGTAGGAATATTTACTCTCCTCCAGTCATCTACCACCTCACCTGTTCTCCAGAATTTCTCAGAATACTAAAGATTCATCCAGATTATCAGCAAGTTCCTCCAGTACCCTAATAGAGGATTCATTTGACCCTGCAGAGTTAAATGCATTCAAAGTGAAGAGGATTCCTATACTACATTTCTATCAATCTCAAGCTTCAGCCCTGCCTCTTCATTCTGACCATCACAGTGGTTTGATGGAACTCATGTACTCTTGTTGGAAAAGACTGAGCTAGGAGCTGAGTAGCTGTGACTTTCTTTTGCTACCTATTAGCATTTTGATGGTGGGTTTTCATTGTTGTTGAACACTGGTTTAGCCATTCTTTTCTCTTCCTTTTTTCTTGAATATACCTGAAGAAACCCTTTTTGTTGTTCTTGTTCTTTACCAACTATAGTTGATTATGAACTTAAGTCTTCCTAGTGCAATTTCTACAGTTACACACTACCTCTGTATTGATTGATCAATCAATAGATAGATAGATTCTTTCTTGGTGACTTGTGCCCAGTTTCTATTTTCAGCTGCTATATGTATCCTTTTGTCGTTTGGTTTGGTTTCTCATGATGTTTAAACCTGACTGATCCCTTAATTTGTCTGTTTATATAGCCACCCATCTCACAATTATGACTCTGGGTGGCAAACATATTATAAAAACCAACAGAGACAAAGCAATAAGATAATAATAAATAATAATGAAAAGTAATGACAGAGTAATGGCACCCAAGGACAATGTACTGTAACTCAATCCATACATCCACAATCATGTCAAGGAAAAAAACTTATTGACGGCCTCACCCAACCTGCAGGCCCCATGCCTGAAGGAACATCTAGGTCTTCAAGGTTTTTTTAGGATTCGCACAGCATGGAAAATAATAAAAATCCTAATGGAGTTTGCATTAACAAAACTTAGCACAGTGTACAAATGGATGTGTTATGTTTTTACCTGATCTGGTTAAATATGCTATGCAACAACTACATGATATCCTGGGAATTGATATTATTGTGATTACATGAGGCTGCCTTTCACTGACTCAGACTATTAGTCCAGCCACCATTTCAAGAATAGTCCGTGTATTGAAAACTGCAAACTATTTTCAATTCCAGAAGATTTATTTTTCTAGGCAAAGGAAATTTTATTTATAGTATCAAATAAAAGGAAATTTCATTGTTAATTGTTGAAAAGTTGTCTGAAGAGAGGAGGGGCAGAGAAAGAGACAGTAGTGAGTCATAGCTATAATTTATACCATTAGAGGGAAGAAGAAAGAAGCTTATAAATGGAATTCAGAGAACTGACAAAAGAGCAAGTGAAATAGAAGAGAGTTCATTATGCTCTATTCCTTATGCCCTGTCTGAACATTTGTCAAAAGGAAGAAGGAAGGTTCTTAATATGCTTAGTGTCAGGATGAATCCAAAAGATAGTAGGAAGCGCAAAAAATGCTTGTGCCACAGCAAGGCAGTGAAAAATAGGGTTCTGCGAAGCTTTGAGGTCCAATAAAATGTCTGTTGAATCACCCTATTGAAGCCAATTTGTATATCATAGCAAAGACCAATGCAGTGAATCAAACCAGGATGCTGCAAAGCATTTCACAGATTTATGAAATTCTTTGCAGATTCACTGACTTTTCTGATGCTTTTGGGATTCTTATCAACAATGATGCAAGTTCACTTCTGTATATGGAAAGGACTGCCCCAATTTATTAGCTTGGTGTTTCTCAACCTTGGTGGCTTTAAGATATGTGAACTTCAACTCCCAGAACTCCCCAGCCAGCATGAGTTGAAGTCCACACATCTTAAAGCTGCCAAAGTTGAGAAACACTGTATTAACTAACATTTCCAGGCCAAATAATATGTTCCAAGCCAAGGTGAAATTGGGAAAAGAGGGTCAAGAAGGAAGTGAGGTGATATTCTCTCCTAAGGCTAGAAACATATCTGCTTTAATCACAATAAAAGCTGGGTTTTTTCAAAAGTACTGGGGCCAGCTTCAATTTCTATGTGACACCCATGTGGAAATATATAAAAGACCCACTTCTATTTGCGTTATTTCATTTGGAGGCCTGCCATTTCATTCAAAGTAAACAGTATTTCAGAGTCCGAAAGCATTCATTAATATACTATCTCAACATTAAGGTAATGCCAAAAATAAGATGTCATATCGTTGTATGCTTATGGTTCTGTGTAACCAGAGCAACAGCACTGATTATATATTCTTTTATGCTAGCCAACCACTTACTTCTGAATTCTTTTATAAAAAAAACCCTGCACCTAGCTATTGAGAAAAATATTGCAGAGATTTGGGAAAGGACATAGAAAAGGACTCTAACACTGAGAAAATTTATGCCTAACTGTCACAAGTTGTTTTTTTTTCCTCTCTGTTTTTAATAGAAAACAATAAGTGTGCTTTGCCAAAAATTGCTGAAAAAAAAATACTTCTTTTTGGCTGCTATTAGTGTGCTTTCTTAATAGTGGGAACAGTAATGGGTTACTCTGAACAATGGATACTTAAGACTGTGGCATAATTGATTTACACTACCCTCAAATAACCACACTTAGCCTTAGTGGTTTTGCCATTTAATCATAGCTAATTGGCCAGAGACCATTGTAAAGCCATTTCATTTACTGCCTGATCCTTGATCAAGTGGAATCATCCAACTGTTGCTTTCAGGACAAAAGGCTGTCGTGGCAAGGGAAAAGTGGCTCTAAACCAGGGAAAGTACTGGTGCTAATCATGATAGAAGAGGGGTGAATTTGCCAGACCACATGAAGGTAAATCTTAAGATGATTGAATAGGCCAACACCTTTTAATATCACATTCGCTGTTGGCCAGATCAAGCGAAAGCAGTGCATTAGATAATAAATACCTCACAATTTTTCCCAAATTGTTGTCCTCCAGTTACTATATAAAGGATGAGCTACAATTGCTCTCATGTGAAAGTCAAGATGTAGGAGCTATCCATA